AGCTCGGGAGGGTGTCAGGAGGTAAGATGGGAGGGAGATCAGCATCCGCGTAGTGTGAATGCGGCAATGATGTGTATTATATCACTTCCGCATTCTCCATTCAGTCATCTGGCTGCTATAGCCAGAGAGAAGAAGCTGAGGAAGCAGATCTCGGCTTCATCAGCTTCTTTGGGGGTCCCTAGGTGACATTAGGGGTCTTAGAGACCTCTTATGTGTTCTTGGTATAACCACTTCCAGCGGAGGACGTACATTTACGTGAACCCGCGGGAAGTGGTTAAAAAAAAACACACACACACGTAATGAAACAAACACACACCTTAAAAAAAAACACACGCACTCTCACACAACTATTAAATATGCACAGCACAACTCAGGTGAGGATTTGAAGTGTGCGGGCCCCGGTTTCCTCCGGTGATGCAGGAGTCCAGCCAACTCCACTTACCAACGACCTGTACGGCCGATGCTCATGTAAGGTTATTGGGCCCCTGAGGGGCCCGTGCCCCTTACATGAGTATCGGCGGTACCCCACTGATGGCGGCCCTGGCAAAGAACAACTTCAAGGCATAGAGAACCTGACAGTACTTGTAAACTTTGAAATCTAAAAAGTCCTGCCGTAGATCAGCCATCTTGAGGTACCTTCTATGGCTGTTTAACCAGATAATGACAGCTGCACATCATCTCTGAGTCTGGACTGGTTTCCTAAAAATGACACCATGTCTATGTCTTTCAGCATGGCCTCTTGTAGTCTCAATCAGGGCACATGGGTGAAAACATCAGAGAGCAATTTGGAAGACATTTGTCTCCCCATAACAGCAACTCTCTGAAAATTAGATTTTAGAGATTTAGTTTGAATCCATTTTAAAGAGGAACTCCAGCTCTTATTTATGCAAAGTCATTCCAAACCCAACCGCCAGCATGCAAAACTCTCCACGATTTATTTATTTATTTTTTAACCACTTGCCGTCCGCCCGTTGTAAAAAAACGGACGGACGGCACTGCAGCATTGGTGGGTTGCCGTCTCCAGACGGCATTTTTTTTCCTGCGGGCGAGCACGGGCAGAAAAGACCCGACCAATGCAAACGTTACCGGGTGTTTCACATATAGACGATCGGCGGCTCCATAGCCCGCCGATCGTCTATATATGCTCTCATTTTTTTAGGGACATCAATCACTGATAACACTAAACTGACGAGCGGTAACAGCTTTTAACGCTTCGCCTATGGCCAATTTTGGGTATTATCGTTTTTTGAGGTTTCGCGCGCGCACGCAATTTTAAGGCTTGACATGTTTGGTGTCTTTTTACCCGACATGACCCCGTCTTTTATATTCTACCACAACATTGGGTAATAATAAATGTTTTATCATTTAATATAGGGGAAACTGTTTTTTTTTTTAAATTTCGGTAATTTTTCCTTAATATAGTAAAAAAATAAAAACCCCAGTGGTGAATAAATACCACCAAAAGAAAGCTCTATCTGTCCCCAAAAAAGGATATAAAATTCATTTCAGTACAGCGCTGCATGACAGAATAAATGTCAGTCAAAGTACCGCAGCGCTGAATACTGAAAAATGGCCTGGATGGGAAGGGGGTTTAACACCGCGGATGTCAACTGGTTAATAAAATAGACAATGGAACGACATGTTTAAGAAAAGGAGAGCAATGCAAATAGAGAGTGGCAAAGTAGGGGAAAAAAAGATAATGATCTCTTGGAATTTAAAAGCTGCTTTCATTATTACAAAAATCAATGAAAAGGCACTAAAAGTGATCTTGACGTCTTTCGTGCCATCATTAGAACTTCATCAAAAGCTTTATAGAAAAGGTAGGCAGGAGTCCAGGTATATAAAGGTAGAAGATGCATTAAATTCACATACATTCATCATCAGCGAACACTGAATACTCTACAGAGGGGTGGGCAGAACCAAGGGTAATAAAGAGATTCAGATGCACTATTGACATTTATTTATTACAGGTATGTGTATAGTGCCAACAATTTACACAGCTCTTTACATAGTTGCACATTCACATCATTCCCTGCCCTCAAGGTGCTTACAATCTATGGTCCCTATCTCACATATGAGGGCCATTTTAGACTGGAGTCAATTAACCTACCAGCATGTCTTTGGAGTGTGGAAGGAAACCAGAGTACCCAGAGAAATCCCACAAGCACAGGGAGAACATGTAAACTTCTTGCAGATAGTGTCCTGGCCCAGATTTGAACCAGGGAACCTCAGTACTGCAAGGCAGAAGTACTAACCATTATGCCATTGTCTTTTTAACATGCAAACTCCTTGCAAATAGTGATCTGACCTGGATTTGAACCAGGAACCCTCGGTGCTGCAAGGCAGAAGTGCTAACCACTAAGCCACTGTGCCATAAATCAGGTATCTTTAAAGTATTCCGAAAGCCAGATTTTTTTTTTTCCAGTTTTGGGTAGAGCGGGAAAGTGATTTTTGCCACCTATTTCCTTGCTGGGAGGATTCTTCCACAACTTTGTTCTGGTAAGTATTGTCAACAAGACAGAAAGTGATGGAAAATCCAACTTTTTATAGTTGCCACCACAACAGGAATATAGGGGAGGTCTTCCAATGGGGACATCTGTTCTGGTGACAACTGTCTAAGTTCCAGTTCACACCTGAGCAATTTTTTTGCACATTTTGAGAAGCCTCACAACACTCAGCAAGAAGATTTCCAGCCCATTCACACCCAAGTGATGTGATAAGCTTGTTGCACCAAAAAGTACAAGCGTCGCTTTTGGGAAATCATTGCACCTTTTTGGCCCTGTAGACTTTCACGGGAGCAACTGAGAATGAGTGAAACAAGGTTTTCCTGTGTTTCTGTATGCAACAGAGGCAGACAATGGCTGGTTGTCTTTTTTCCAACCTTGTCTATTATTATTATTATATTCTTATTATGTAGTGCTAACCACCGTAGGAGCCGCTGGTTGCCCAGTTCATTTCTTGTCTGTCTAGGGCATGACCTTCAGCTGCCCGCCCAATAGCACTAACCACCCTTCTTCTGGTGCCCATAAACTGATGTCCACTCCAGTAGTAAAATGCTGAGTAAATGATTTATTGAACATCTTCACTGGGGAGAGGGGGGAGAGGGATTCTATGTGTCCAGGGTGACCAACAGAAGCTCCAGACTCACCAGACTGTGTAGATGTATCAGTGTAGATCCACCTGGGAGACAGCGGACAGCCATTGATGTAACAAACAGACAGGATGGATGCAGATCCTCAACCAGGAAAGACACCGACAATGCTCCTGAAGTCCACTTAGTTCCAGGGTACTTCAAGGGCCTGCCCTGGTCCCGGTTCTCTTCCTCTTTCAGCACCCCAGGCCTCCCCCATGTTGGAGGCCTCAGGGAAACCTCTTCCCTCACACCAGCCCATGCCTACCCCCCAGGGCCTCAGGCCCAGCCTGGGGGGCAGGCTGAACAGGACCCAGCCCTAATCCACGACTGGTCCCGGCTAGTCTGAGCATATGGCAAATCCCACCAGCATATGTACTCTATCCCAGCATGCACCAGTGGCTGAGAGAAGCCCAGTGATTGGCTGCTGTACTGTACATACATTACAGTGCCTCTCATTGGCTGTCCCACACATGACAAAGTCAAACTCCGCCAAGGGGGGTACAGGCAATGCAAAACACCTGTGATTAACCATATAATTGCCACTATAAATCCAGCCAGGCTGACTACAGCCCTGGCTATAACTAAATGTCTAGTAGCCACATCACAGAAGGTGATGGGGGCTACACTTATTATTATTATACAGGATTTATATTGCGCCAACAGTTTGTGCAGCGCTTTATAATATAAGGAGGACATTACCTTTACAATACAAAGCAAGGCAAGCAAGGAGGGCCCTGCTTACAATCTAACTATGTAGCTATGTGCAGTTGACAAGGAGAGCAGTAGTACTGAGAACCAAAAAAAGAATACAAAAAAAAAAGTGTTTTATTTGGAAAATAATTGACATTTGTTTCTCGTACACAGCTCTTTGACAATCTGAATGACGTCTAGTTAAGGTTTACATCTACATTAAACTAAACTGGCTTGCCATGTGCTCTTGATGGCCCTTTAAATCCTTATTAAGGGATTACTTAATAATACAGGTTGTGCTTTATAATTGGCTAATGTGTTTATTAACATCAATTTACCACCATGCGTGACCTTTCCCCGCGCAGTTCATGCGGCGGCATCTTGTAACACATCTGCACAGCGGCGAGGTGAAAGCGTCCAACTCTATTAGCTCCGGAATTACCACGGGCAAGATATCTGCGCTCACGTCTTAATCACCAATAGCGATGTTTCCCAAGGTTACTATACAATGACTCCTCTGTAATACATAATTATGCCTCATAAGTATCATGGCGTGTTTTTGTCAAGGAAAATAAGACGGCACGATCGCTTTCCTCTCTCTCTGCGTTTGAACAATAGCCGCCTCTCGAGCGTAAACGCTGATCTCTGAGTCAATGAACAAAACTGCTTAGGCTGCTGTGAATACACTGTCTTATGGGCTCGGCTGCTTCCACGCTTTGCAATGCCAATCTGCAGCCTAAAAGCCCACGAGCCTTAGGAGAGGCACAGAGCGTGGCTGTGTGTACTTTACCAATTCACTGCACGCCATCTTTAAACATCGTCCTTGAAGTGATGGAGGTTCAAAGCGCAGTTTAATCTCGCAGTGCTTAAAGGGGACCTGTCAGAAAAACTGATTGATGGTTTATTTTATTAACGTGAATCAAAAGCCAAAACAAGTATTTTTTTTGTTTTGGATAAAGTAGGGAATTGTTAGGACCTCTGTCGGGTTTTTATTGCTGATTTGGGAGATTCACTCTCTGTTTTTTTGGTCTTGGTGACCTGAACTCAAAAATTGAAGATATGCTATGTTGGATGATCCTCTGTCTTTATTCAACCGTACCTAACTATATAGTGACCATCTAAAAATGCATTGTAATGGCTTCTTTTACTTTTCTTTGTATGCCATTTCTCTTTTCAGATCACATGGAAAGTTCCATTGTTACCAAATGGAGAAATATTAAGCTATGAAATCCGCATGCCAGAGCCTAAAGTTGTCATTACTGATACTGCGCTATTAAGCTACACAATGACAAATCTTATCCCGTACACCAACTACTCTGTAACAGTGGTGGCCTGCTCTGGAGGAGGGTCATATCTCGGGGGATGTACTGAAAGTCAACCCACATTGGTTACCACTCAGCCTGCACCACCAGAGGGTGTAGGCCCTCTCTCCGTGTTGCCTGTCAGTGAGACATTCATTGCTGTTTCCTGGCAGCCTCCTTCAAGGCCTAATGGACCAGATGTAAGGTAATGCCAGGTACTTACTGTATGTGTTATAGACCATGAGGAAAGCCACATTTCCATGTAGAATCAGAAAATAATGGGTTAAAGGTTTTAAAGAAAAACTCCACCGTATGTACTGTTACCTGAACAGCTTTGAAGTTCTAATGTTCCTGTGTGTCCTAGGTTGTCAGTCCCCGGTTTAATTTTAGTTTGTGCTTTGCAGATTTGTGCATTATATTTTATCAAAGCCTAGAAACAAATATTAATTAAACAAATAAGGGTTTGAGGTCCCCTACTAAACAAGTGCTGCAGGACTAACTTAGGAATCATAGGGCACCAGCTTATGACTCATGCCTGAAAAGTGTGTTAAATGTAACATTCCTGGTTGTCTACTAAGCATGATTGAAACTGAGATTTTTCAATTTAAGCAAAAATCTGAACGTTTTTCACAATTTTGCCATTTTGGCAACATGCATTGGAGTCTATAAGGAAAAAGAAATGAAAGTGGTTTATGGTGTTTTTAGGGTACCGTGGGCTTTAAATAGCTTCAATGAAGCACCCGTCTATTTTTTAAACTATTTAAAATGTATTTTACACTATTATTGTTATTATTATTATTTATTTATGAGTACCATCTTTTTTTAAAGAAAAGTTGTCAATGCCATAGCTTGGCTTAGCTGACCAGGCGTTTACATGGCTTTGTTTATCTGTTTTGTTTAAAGGAGAACTATGGGGTTAAGTCTTTTCCCCATAGTTCTCCTTAGTGTAACGGGAGGACACAAACTAGTGTCCTCCCATCACCCTAGGCTCAGTATACCGCAAGCTATACTGAGACGCCGCAGTATACCGCGAGCTGCTGCTCGAGGTATACTGAGACGCCCCAGCTGAAGCGGATCCCGACAATTGTGCCGGGATCCGCCCAGCTGCGTGACTGACAGCTGGCTCTGCCTATCTAGAGGCAGAGCCAGCTGTATCCGCCCCCTCCCCGTCCGTTCCGCCAGTCAGCGCTGGCTGATCGGAGCGGGGAGGGGATGATTCCAGCCCCTCCCCTGTCACGGCCGAGAGCCGTGACAGGATCGAGAGGTGAGCGAACGCCGGTATGTGTTCACTCACTTCCCGATCTACTGAGCCGACTTGTGACAGTCTCATTGTCACAGGTCGGCTAGAACTATGAGGTGAGTGAAAAGCACTCACCTCATAGTTCTCCTTTAAGTTGACTTGACGTTTCCATGGTTAAAATACAAATCCATTAGGGGTTTTTTTCAAGCAAATTTCACCTAAGCAGTTCAATGGCAAAATATGGGGCTACATTTGAGGACATTCAGCAAAGACAAAATTGGAAATTTTATGGCAAAATCATTTTCGGTTACATCCTTTGACTCATCCCTATTGCCTACAGCAACCAAACCAGCTTCCAGTTTTTAACTTTAAAGTCCAGTTTTAAAAGTTATTCAGGGAAGTTGTTTTCTGTGGCCTACATGAAATATTGCCTTTAGGTCCCTTTTCATACATGAGCCCTATTGGTTCTTTTACTCTCCAAAAATCACTTTTTTTAGAAAAATCATCAGTAATGAATTCTTAAAATTGGGTTGAGGTTGTTTTTAGTTGCACCTTATTAGGCTTATTACCACATCTGAGATTTATGGGGGCTTGACAGGCAGTTCTGATCCCCACCAAGCACCCATAAACTGACTGCCGTGTAGTGAGCCTCGTGCTTCAGTGGGTTTGGATTAAAGCCATTATCAATTATCATTTTCAAAAGGAAGTCGCTAATGGGAGCTCCCTTTTTTTGTCTTTTTATGAGTTTGTGATCAGGAGCACCTAGTACAGATCGATGAAAAATTCTGTGATTTGTTCAACCACTTTGGTGAGGGTGGTGGCATACAGCCAACATGTTTCAGAATATATGGACTTTCCCTTCTTCAGTGCTTGAGTCTTGTTGTTAGATTTAGACACTTCTTTAGTGTGACACTTCTTCAGAGTGTGATGGGCAGAATCCTCGCTCTCTTGAAGAGCTGCTGGGGCTGCTACTACTTGACATTTCCAAGGCCTCCACTGCTGGCCCCTAGGGTTCCTCCTGCCAACCCCTATTTTACTATTGGACACAGTAATAATGTAGGGGTTAGCGAGTGGGACCACAATACAAGTGAGGGACACACTATTCAACATACCCGGAAGTGTCAAATAGTAGTGGTGCCAGTCCCTCTTAAATAGAGAGTGATGATTAAACACACTTCCCACTGGGCAGGTACATATAAAGATGTTTCTTTCATATGTAATTGCAGCTGTAAATGTTTACACCCCCTGACAGGGTCTCTTTAAGAGCATGTTAGATTTGTAGGTAATATGAACTGGCTACATACTGTATAAAACAATAGAATCGTGTTTAACAATATCCAATTAATAACAGAGATACTGCCGCTGGTGTTTGTAAACTCTCTTCCTTTCCATAAACATGCACAGATGGACAATGTGAGCATGCATGTTTTTATAAAAATCATTTGCAAAAAAATAATAACAAAAAAACCATTAGCAATTAGATCAAGGCACTAAGTTCATCTAATATCTATAGACAGCAAAATAAAAATAGAAAAAAGATCAAGAATGATACAAAATAATTTAGCAATAATTTATTTTTATGATCATGGATAAAAAAAAACATAATCCTCTATCTGACCTTCTCACCACCGTTGCCATGTATAGCACACACTGGTGCCACCACACGATCCGACTCCCCCTTCCCTTCTTCTTTTTCTTTCTCTCGCTTTTCCCTCTCTCCCTCTTCTGACCTCCAAACACCCTGACGTAACCTCATCTGAACCAGAGTGTACCCCTTTACCCTCTGTTGTCCTGTCTGTGTTGTGTGGTGTCGTTGTCCGTTATCCTACCTGGCTGACTCTGAGTCACGTTAGTGATAGTATATCTACTGCCACCTCCGGAAGCCACGAGGTCTTGAGTACTACTGAAGGTACTTGACATACATTCTATTAGCCTCTTAATGTAATATCTTCGGTGCTTAACGCTTTACTATCCCAAATATGAAGACAGTAACCATGAAAGGATATAGACTGAATATTAATTTGCAAGGATATATACTAAATATAACTAATCTAATACTCCCTGAAGACCTCTGATTCCCCGGATCTAATGCCATACAATATGATTACCTAGTAATCTGTAACAACCCCATACATATGTATCAAGCTGTACCTGCATAATACTGCTACATGTCCTTCTATTGAGATAATGGTCTGCGCACCATGTTGTGTAATGTTTCATTCTGATGGATGTACTGTGTGTTAAAATAATAAAAACATTTATATGGAAAAAAAAAAACATAATCTTCAGACATATAGAGGAAATATTTGAGCTATAAGCTTGCTTTTGATAGCATGCTGGTTGATGCAGTTTTTCCAGATAAAACCCTCTTGGAGATGTCATGTGTTAATATATTTCTTGTGAAAAAAATGACTTTTTTTTTTCAGTAGCTAAATAAGTTTGGAACCCTCAACATGTTTATCTGAGCAATTTTGCAGCTGTAAAAACAAAATAATGTTTGAAAACCCCGTTTTTGTTTAATAATATTAGTGGAGATAATCCGTGCGCTTTGCTTGTCTTTTGTGTTAGATTTGAACTCTTGAGACGCACAATCCTGCAACCACTTGCATCAAATCCCCCTAAAGATTTAAATCTGTGGCAGAATATTTACTCAGGAACTCGGTGGTTCTATGAAGATAAGGGTCTTAGCAGGTAAGATTACAAAACAGTGGAAAAAAAAAAAAAAGTGCTGGCATTTTTAATAGAGAGTATAAACAGCGCCGAGCAGAATTTTATAGCAGCTTTGTGTACATTGCAGTGTTGTGAAATGGAACATGGGAAATGTATCTTCTTTACGGCTAAAAGAAAAATAATTTGTGTTTTGCTGGCTTCTGCTTTGACGGAAATCCTGAGAGAACCACTACATGGGAGATATTTGATTTTGTGTAACCCAACAATTATGTTGCTTGTATAGTATGCACATGCTTAACACTATTCGTGAAGTGCACCTGTCAGTGCAAACGTTAGTAAGGTAATAGACAAACACTTAAAGAGGACATCTACTGTGGAAGCTTTGCCCCAAAATAAGGCAAACTGGGGACAAAGGACCAATCACCAGTAGGGATGAGGCTCAGGTTCGCCACTACCACATGTTCACAGTGAATCCTGGGCGTTCGAGATTTGTGGTCCCAGTGAATTCATGTGCGGATTTGCCCCTTAGAATATTTTAAAAAGCATTTTGCATGGCCTTTGGACTATGGCCAGCAGGCATAAAAGGACCAGTACAGACTCTTTTGGATAAGCTACAATTTACTCATGTCTCATTACACTGCCAGACCGGAATCCCATGGTAATATTATGGGGGGTGCTGAATGACATGCCAATGGCGCTGCGTAAATCCAAATGTAAAAGAAGTAGTCACCTGCAGACCTACGGTAGGTACAAGGCATCATTCTGTTCTTTTATTGACGTCAGATACACATGGCATCACAAAGCAACATTTCGGAACCAAGCCAGTGGTCACTGTGCTTCTTGCCTGATGAAGGGACCATGCTAGGTTCTGAAACATTGCTTTGTACTTGTGATGCCATGTGTGTCTGACGTCAATAAGAGGATGGATTGGTGCATTGGACCTAGGTGTGCGGGTGCTAACTTCTTTTACTTTTGGATAAGCCACCCCCCTCTTTACAAAAGGGGTGCACAGAGCAGACATAGTGTAATTGCATTGGAAGCTTCTGTGGGGTTCATTTTATATAGGCTGCCAATGCACCATAGCTGATAGGAAAATATACCTGCAATACTTTTTCTGATGCAGCACGCCAAAATGTATGGTAGTGGATTTCTTTGAAATTGTGGTGTGCTGTAATGTCTGTGTGTTGTGGAGCTGCTTTTGGGTGATCTTTACAATGAAAGGCGGTGCAATGCACTACTGCACATATCATGTATTACATCAATAGGTCCCTAGCCTTCCCCTTGACATCATGATGCTGCTGCTAGAAGACTTGAGAAGCCTGTGGAGACCCATGATGCACATTTCTGACAGCCAGAAAGCGACACGGAAGAATTGTCACATGACCACAGTTGCAGGAAAGTAAATGCGGATTTTCGTTGCATAAAAAAAAAAGTATAGATAAAGATTAGGTAGAAGTGGGTGGAGTCGGAAAGAAATGTTTATTTTTTTATGACCAGAAATTAGCTTTAAAAAACAAATATAAACTCTACTACTGTTAGAATACCATCTTATTCTGGATGCTTAGAGGTACACTAATATGTGCCGTCCATGGTGCTGAGTGCTAAGCCTGTGAACACATAGGATTAGCACCACGGACAGCACATACTAATGTAGCCGTCTGAGCATCCAGATTAGGATGGTATTTTAGCAGTAGTAGAGTCTTGTACCCTTTAGCCATCAACTAGTGCAGAAAGTTTGGCGTTTAAGTGATGCCCCTTATTGACTTACTTGTTAAAGATGCAAGCTTTCAGCAATCCTTAGATCCTTATGTCACGCTTTATACCGTACGTGTATAAGCCTGAGAAAGCGATCTAAGGAATCTTGAAAGCTTGCATCTATAATAATTTAGGGATGCCAATAATGGGTATCCAAACTTTTGGATATCCAAAATCCAAACTTTCTGCAGGATGTTATTTTAAAATGGTGACGTCAGTATTCCTGATCTGCATAGTTGTTCCAGGTCAGTAAGGGCTCATGTCGAATGGGCATTGTTTTCCTGTGTTTGACATGCATTTGGAACACACATCAGCAAAATCCCATTAACTTTCATAGAGCACATATGACAGTTCCAAGACTGCATTTGACCTACCTTGTATTGCACTGCCTTTCCTTGGATGCAGTTTGTCCGATTGAGTTTTGTTTGATCTGTAGGCACAGCAGGTAGAACACAGGATTTTCCTGTCAAATGCTGCATTTTTTTTTATGAATGGAAAGCACAGCGCTTGACAAGAACGCCTGTTGACATGCACATGAGCCCTAACTTTGTGTATTATATAAGGCAGAGGACAGCCAGGCAGCTCACATTTTCATAAGGAGGTGCACTCATTTCTGGTAAAAGATTTTTTTTTTTTTTTTTAAGAAACACTGTCTATGTAGTCCTATATGGAGGTACTATTGTCATGACAAGCAGTGTTATGTTGGTTCATAAAGAAAAAATTTACCTGGAAGTTGTTTTAAAATGTTGCCAACTTTATATTAGATACTACATAAACTATTTATGGTTCCTGTGTGCTGAGGGTGAACTTATCCTAAAAACAATCTTATTTTCTGCATTTTAGGTATACGTCCTATGAATACAGACTTATTGTACATAACGTAGTAGGGTATGCATTCAGTTCTGATGTAATTGGGATGACCCTTCCTGGCCCTCCTATAAGAGGAAATCATTTTACTGCTCATGCTATTAACCACACTGCCATAGAAGCATCGTGGACCAAACCCAGTAAGTATTCATTGTGTCATTTAAAATGTGTGTGTTGTACTGGGGTTCATTCACTAAAGCAAGAGCATGGGTGATATTAAGCACTATGAGGATATGGTTTAAGGATACAATCAATGCTGCTGTGCATATTCTTTAGTAAATCATCCCCATAGTGTGTTGTTTACTGTGTATATGCTTTTGTTCACATTTTCTGTTTTCGGTTGCAATTTAACCTTTTTCTATATGTATTTTAATCGTACATCATACACCATCAGGCACTTTAGATAATTGTGCACCGACCTTGTAGCAACGGTTTGGTGAAGGTACTTTTCTGTTTCAGCATGACTGTGTCCCTATACATAAAGTCAGCTCCATAATTACACAGTTTGATGAGTTTGGTGTTAAGGAACTCAAGTGGCCTGCACAGAGCCCTGACCTCAACCTTTTGTGATGAGTTGGAACACTGATTGTGAGTCAGGTCTTTTCATCCAACATCAGTAGCTGACCTCACAAATGTTCTTTTGCCTAAATGGGTAAAATTCACACAGACACAACATCTTGTGGAAAGCCTTCCCAGTAGAGTAGAGGCCATTATAGCTGCAAAGAGAGGCCAAGTTTATAATGATAGCCATGGTTTTGGAATAGGATATCCAACAAGCTTTTATAGACATATATCCAGAAACTGGTCGTGCTTTGCTGATTTTTACTGTGTGTCTGAAAACAACTGACTCTTTGCAGCCTCCAATGGTGTGATGTTATTGTGTTATATTTTAGGCAGGCTTTAGGTTCTATAAATCAGCTTGAGAGAACGACTTTTTCTTCCTCCTTTTGTTGTTTAATTCATGCAATGAGGAGTAAAACATAAACAATATATAATTTGGTAATACTGATGTGTCCACTTTAAATTGGGATAAAGCACAGATGGGCTCTGCCACTCTCTAGGGTTTTATATCCCTTAAGCTGACCATACACTGGTTGAATTTTGAACCGAGTCCTACTGATTTTACTTTTGGTTTCAGTCAAGTTTTATCGAAGGAACCAGGTCAAACATTCTCTGCCAAATAGAAGCTGCAGCTAGTTAGCTGCAGTCATTGTTCAGGTATTCTGACATCAGCATACAAAACCCCAATGGGAGGGAATTCCCATCCATGCTGTTTAGCATAGATGGAGGAATCAAGCAGGGCTGAACGAGAAAAAAACTGTAAGTGTATGGCCAACCTTAGAGAAGCACGTTGTGCAATTCCCCATTAAGATGGTGTCTTTGACCCCTTTTACCAAAACAAAGGTGTGTAACGTTTGAGCGAGTTTGGCTGAGGATCTCAGCTGCGGAGAGGCTTTGTGGATGGCTCAGGTGGGGGTTCACACTTACACTCTTAGTGTGGTTGAGTGAGGTAGGAACCCTTCACACATCATACGCCACCACAGGCTGTAATTGCAGAGGTAACAACAAGTGAACCTTCCCTCTGTTGCAATAGTGTGGTTAGTTGGGGCCTGTGGGGGTTTGTAGTTCGTTATAAAGTAGTTCACTCCACTAATGTATAAAAACTATAGAAACTACAAGCAACTTGGCAGAGGAAAGGAAAAGGTAGTCCAGTATGTGGTTTAGTATACAGTAGTTCACTCCACTAATGCATAACACTATAGCAACAGCAATTAACTTGGCAAGGTAACATAGATATCACAAGTAGGTTCCTGAATGCAGGCATATCAAACAGTGATTAGCAGTACTCCTAGAAACAACCCCCTTTGTAGAGCAGTGTCTCTTTAAACCCCACTGAGTTGCAGGCAATGTGCACAGATGCAGAGTCCAGGATGGTACTTGCGGTTTGTTGGGGTATTCCGAGCCCTCCAGGAATACAGGGCGAAGGATCACTGCTGTGCTGGAAGAAGACCGGATTACTATGCTCTGGAAACGAAAGGTTCATGTGCTTCAGCAGAGGTATGAGCCCTAAGGAATTGCTCAACGTTCTACCTCACTAGAACATTGAGCAAGTGTGCCTTCCAGGCTTTTATGAGTAGGCAGGTGTGTTGGGGCGGAGCAGTCAGCAGAGGCCCTCCCGAACGTCTCCTAGCAACAGGATGCTTCCGAAGGGCCAGGCTGCTATGCCCTCACTCCTATGTGTGACGAGTCCGAGGGAGACGTCTGGAGGGAGGAGCCGAGTACGCAAGCCTGCTGGCCCGTCTCCTAGCAACGAGACGGCGCCGCGGCTGTGTGAGGAGACGGGGCTCGGGTTTGTGACAAGGTGTCACTCTATCACACCTCAACAGTTTGATTATTTCTTTATTCAAAATTATGTGTGGTGTGACCCCCATTCCTTGGTTTGTAATGGCTGCAATAGGTTTAAGGATGTGTTACCTTGGGAGACCACAAGATATGCAAGAAATGAGCATGTAATACAATAACCCACCAATCATGCTGAAATATTGGCTCTGGCAGGAGCTAGCTTTTAAATGTCCAATAATCCCTACACAGTAGTTAAAACATGGATGGAAACAAATTAAGCAGTGGCTATTGTAACCAGGTGATATGTTTCTGAAGTTGCTGTTAAGTGACTGGAAATATATTCTCATTCTTTCCAGCTGTACAGGATTTGCAAGGTGATGTTGATCATTACTCCCTGATATTAACCTCGTCCAGATATAACAAGACGCTGACGTTCCCAGCAGATGTGAAGAGCACCGTAATTGGTGGCCTGTACCCACACACCAAGAATCAGCTCTATCTTGAAGTCTCCAACGGACCCCATAGCATAAGCAGCGGCTGGGTGCACGTGACCACCCCGGATGGAGGTTTGTACTGACAACCACTTTACCAGCTCTGAGAACTAAATGGATTGATTTTGCAAGGTTGAAATCAGTCAGTCTTGGATTTTTAAAATGCCTTTTCATTAAATGAGAGAGAGGGGGGAAAAGGTTTAAATGGTCTAAAATGTATCGTTGACTTGAGGAGGAAGATCAATAAGAGGCCCACAGAGACAAGAGCATACTGCTATAATCGTGAATATTAGCCTTATCTGAACTTGCTCTCCCACGTCTCACAGCGGCCTCTTTATAAAGAAGTGAAATAGACACTTCAAGGCTTTTCTGTAATTTTTTTCCATTTCACCCCTTTCAACCAATAAATAAATAAATATATCTATCTATATATATATATATATATAGATCTATCTATCTATCTATCTATCTATCTATCTATCTATCTATCTATCTATCTATCTATCTATCTATCTATCTATCTACCTATCTATCTATCTATCTATATGTACTGTTTATAGATACATATAGTATTTTACTATGTTTCCTTACTTTTTAATCACCATGAAATGCATTTCCTTTTCTCTGGTCATAGGGAGCCATTTTAAGGGAACCAGCAGCCCACATGCAGACCCCATGACTCAGGGGATTAGTTTCCTTCTCTGATTACTGGACTAGTTCTGGGCCACTGATGATAAACTGTTTACTAAGCCACTACTCTAGATCTAGTATGTGTTAATAAGATATTTTCTTTCATCCTGGGTGGAGGATTGAGGAAACAAAAATGTGGCATTAGTAGTGTACCTGTGTGTATGGCCGAAAAGAGGTCATGGTCAATAAAGTGGGTGTTGCTTCACAGTGTGTGGGCTGTAGTCTGCCACAATTTCGCCTTAGATTGGTTTAGCCAAAATAGGGCCTTGGGGATACACTGAAGAGTTTGTGGAAATGAAATAAGTGCCATTTTTGGTGTCAGCTGCAGCAAAACAATAACTCTCAGCACGTGTCAGGGCCAGCAATAACCCCCAGCATGTGTCGGAGCCAGCAATAACCCCCAGCATTTGTCGGAACCAGCAATAACACCAAACATGTTTTAGAGTCAGCAATACCCCCAGCATGTGTCAGGCCCAGCAATAACCACCAGCATTTGTCAGGGCCAGCAATAACCACCAGCATGTGTCAGGGCCAGCAATACCCACAGCATGTGTCGGAGCCATCAATAACCCCGAGCATGTGTTAGGGCCAACAGTAACCCACAGCATGTGTCAGGGCCAGCAATACCCGCACTATGTGTCGGAGCCATCAATAACCCCCGGCATGTGTCATGGACAGCAATACCCACAGCATGTGTCAGAGCCATCAATAACCCCCAGCATGTGTTAGGGCCAACAGTAACCCCCAGCATGTGTCAGGGCCAGCAATACCCACAGCATGTGTCGGAGCCATCAATAACCCCTAGCATGTGTCAGGACCCCATCACAAGCAAACATCCACACAGCACAATGTCCCCCCTTCCCAAAAAAGATTATAAAGAATTGTCGATCTCCTGTGCTACAAACCACTGCTTCCTCTCAGCAACTTCCATGTCACTACAGGACACAGTAGTGATGAGGAGGTTAGTGGGAAGAACCACTAAGCATTGCAGGGATACCTGAGACCCAGAAATTTAAATTTTAAGGGGAAGACTTCTGCCGGGGATTTCTTGTCAACAGAACATTGTTTGTCATTGCTGGCAGAGTGGAGTATTTAATTCATTCTTTACTGGTAACATTTTTAAATGAATTTGTATTTTAATGACAGATTCATTTCAATGGGAAATGATGGCTTATTTTTAGCGTGCACATATTTTCAATCATTGATTTATTGCTCCTTAAAGCTTTGAATGGATTGGTTCTGCTAACCATACTGTCAATTTTTGAAGACATTGGCCACTTACATCAACTTACTCATCTCCATCTGTAATTTATATTCATGGCAATGGTAAATCTAAACACATATAGAACAGTCTATCTAATTTTGTGACTTTATAAAAACTCATTATAAACACTATCATATCATTACCTCCCAAGCAAGTGTTCCAGGTCATTAAAATCCTCTTAAAGGAAGGCCTTTAATTTCCTCCTTGATACCAAAGGTTACCACCTTCTTTTTTTTTTTTTGTTAAGTGAAAAAAATAAAATAAAATAATATATTGCACAGTCACCAAATGGGGCAATATTTTCGCATAGCTATTCCTGCCATCCCTGAATAACGGTGTAGTTAAGGCACAGGAAATTTTATTTCTAAATTAGACGGTGATATTAACTACTGTGTGATAATCAACATTCTAGATCATTTACCTAACGATAATGCCATGCTATTGCCTGATGTAATTTACAGGGTGATCTCTATAATGTTCTTTAGGTCAAACGCAATTCCACTCTGCTATTATGGAGATGGAGCTAATACCCGTGCAAACTTCATTTCAATCAGGCCGAACTTTATCAATAAAGGAACTGCTAGTTATTTTGGAAGTACAGGCAAATTAAAAAAACATGTTTTATTTCACATATATGTTCAGTGAAAGACTCCTGGATTTGTTTTTAAAAGAGCACTTGTGTTAAAAAATGAAAAGGGAACTTGTTTCAAGTCTTTAAAATTGACCTATTAGTTACTATACAAGTCTGTATGGATAACTATCTCACATATCACTATATACAGTATAGTATCTTTTTTTTATAGTCAGCCTTTGCTCATTAAAAAGCCATCATTAAAGTGACACTAAACTCAGGGGTTACATTTTCGAAATTTTAGAAATGTAGCTTATTTATGTATCACTCGGCTGTAGATCCTGAAATCATCTCTAAATTCCTGTTGACATTGTCATTCCTTCTGGAGGGGGGCTACTTTTGTTCCTCATTGTCCCTGTGTGTGTTATAAAGTAACCACCACTCCAAGCTCACTCCTGTGATGGACTACAAGCTCAATACAAATTAGTAAACTAAACATGAGATTGTAGTCCAGGGTTGAGCTTGGAGCGGTGAATAGTTACAACACACACAGGAACCATGGAGAACAAAAGTAGCCCCCCTCCAGAAGGAAGGACAGTGTCAGCACCAATTCAGAGATGATTTGAGGATCTACAACTGAGTGATACATAAATAAGATACATTTTTGTTACTAGTTAAGGTTCTTGAATGCATTTTAAGATTTAACTCCTGAGTTTACTGTCACTTTAATTAACCCCAATTAGCTCCAGTCAGTGACTTTGCTTAGGCTGAGATAAAGCTGCTGCAGGCAGAAGGGAGCATGTCCTCTACCCCAGTGATCAGATTGAAACATTTTAACTTAGTAAGGTTAGAGGTCACAGCTGATCACATATGGGTGATCACAGTCAAGAACTGCACAGACACCAGGTTTTCCATCCAGGAATGCTGGATGATGCCTGAACAAAGATGGTTCTAGCATGATCCATCATACTTTTGGAGAGAAATATAGATAAAGGCGCTGTCAGGGAAAGTATTGGAACATTTTCGAAACTACTTATCATGTATACACTTAAAGAGGACCTCAACTGTAAAAACTGCACCCAAAAAAGGGCAAGCAGAGTGGAAAGGTCTAATCTCCAGTATTGCCTACAGGCGATCTGATCTGGCGCTGCTGATCTTTTCCACATTACTGACCGACCTTGCCTTCTTCTGCACTGTGTGAAGTTTGTCTTGATAGAGCCAGGGTTTATATATCTATATATACATGCATGCATACATGCACATACACACTCTCACTCAAACACACACACTTTTATTTCAAGGCATTCTTGGGCTGAATCAAAGACATCATAGACACATGCCCAGGCGGTAGATCCATGATGGTTTAGGCTCAGAGGAAGTAGATTGCATGAGGCTGGCCGTCATTCAACCTGGCAGACCAAGGCATATAGTGGCAGGGTACATCTCGGGATTAAAGGTAAGTATTGCAGCGAAAGCTGCTTCTTTTACTTTACCTTTTAATAGGCTTTAAGTTAAATTAGAGAATGTGGTTGGTTTATTGTAAATAATATTTTCAGTTAGTGTTAATGCTTTAAAAACCTGGTTTCGGGTTATTGTTTGTTATATGTATATACATTGAGGCATCCATATTTGCCTAGTACAATGGTTAGCTTTGCTCTTTGATAGAATTGTTCTGCCTTCCTCTCTCTCTCTCAGCACTGTGGAACCTATGGGTCAGGTCTGACTTGCTGTAGAATTCCGCTGGTCAAACATTACAGCGGGTCAGCGCAGTGTTGGTAATAGAAAACATTTTTTAGCTCTTGCAGTTTCTTACTGAGAGCATAATAAGCCAATTTAAACATCAGCCCCTGGCTGCTGTGACTGATTCATTGTGAAACAGCAAAGAGCCCTTTCTTTAGTTTTTTTTTCTTTCTCTTTTTTCATAATGCTCATCTGCATTTGGTTAAAGAAGGTCTTTCACGCAGACAGCAGGAGTACTCTGTGTTTTTGCATTAATTCTAGTGCCTGAAGGCATGCTCCCTCCAGAGGTTGTGGCAATCAACGGTACAGCTGTACGTATCATCTGGACACCCCCTTTAAATCCAAATGGCGTTGTCACAGAATATTCCATCTATGTGAATGATAAAGGCTACAGGACGGAAAGGAATACACCCCATCCTTTCATAGTGGACGACCTGGCTCCATATATCGTGTACAACATACAGGTTTGTTGATAATGTTTTAATTTACAATATGATATATATGATATATATGATTGATATATATATATATATGTATATATATATATATATACACATACATACATACATGTTAACATTTCAAAAACGCTGTGGGGGGAATTTACCAAAACTGGAGCAGAGAAAATCTGGAACTGTTGTGCATGGCAACCAATCAGCTTCTCTCTTCAGTTTGTTCAGTTAAAATTTGAAAATGAAAGAGAGAAGCTGATTGGTGTCCATGCACAGCTGCTCCAGATTTTCTCTGCTCCACATTTTCTCTGCTCCAGTTTTGATAAATTTCCTTGGGTGTATATTATCAAAACCAGTATGTGTAGTGTAACCGCTTTGGGCGTCCCCACCCTTTCTCAAGCCTGCTGGGAAAGGACAATCCTATCTAAACATTGATCCTCAAATTCGAGTTAGATTCGATTTTGACTGAATATTTCAATTTTACTGTCCCCAGCCGGATCCGAATTTCAGTGTTATTTTTTGGCAGTGGATTCCAGAACGTTTATGAGAGAAGGAACCAAAGGCTTCTGCTATTCTACTTTTGCTTTTTCCTGGCCATCATGTTCCTCATCTATTTTAGTATCCCTGGTAGTTAAAGTAGAACTTAAAGTAGTTTTGGATAGAGTAAGAGAGGATTAAAACCCCTGTCAGCTTTTTTGCCATATGCATCATATTAGGGAGATTTGCCTTCACTTCCTGTCTGATAGCCACAACAGGAAGTGAGAGAAAATCCCTTCAAAGTGAGGTAAATCCCTGGTGGTGAGCAGAGTCACTAGAACCATTGAAAGTTTTTACATCTTTTCCTGTTCTGGGGACAACCCAAAACGTGGGACAGACACGTGACTGTTTTCTGGCCAATCAGAAAACCCCCCGTCCAAAACTAAAATGAAATTCCAAAAGATCCAAAACCGAATAACAAAATGAAATGGGGTTATACCTATGTATGGATGTATTGGGAGTAGAAAGAGAAAGTGGAGGGAGAGAAAGACTGAGTGAGAAAGAAAGAGAGGGAGGGGAAAGAGGAAGAGAAAGATTTGTGAGGGTATAATTATGCTCATATGATGCATATCATTTGTTCAGGTTGAAGTTTGCACACTATATGCCTGTATGAAGAGCGATGCTACCCAAGTTGCTACTATAGAGAAAAAACCAAGCCAAATTCCATCACCAGACATAAAACTCATCAGCTCCAGGTAAGTGTGAGCACATGGCCAGTGAAAGAGCAGCGGAAGACTGCTAAAATCATCTTTCTTCTCATTCTACTCTCTCCTCCTATTAGCATGCTCCTTGTTGACACATTAGCATGCAGTACACATGATTGGCTCACAGTCTTGCCCTTCCCTGTGCTCGTCTAAGTACAGCTGTAAATGGTTATTAAAGAGACTGATGCCCAGAAAAATTCAGGTACTAACAATTTTGATACAATGAACAATTTATAATTGAATACAGAGCTGCATCAATGTGTGTCTTTCACATCTGTCTGGAGTTCAGCTTTAACAACCTGCTCTTCTATGTAAACATTTGCACACACGTGTAGATACTGCGAGGCAGGCGGCGGCGGTCAGGAGCGTTGTCTGCATTGTGGCTGTGTTGGCCTCAGCCAGGCTTTCTGTTAGCGTTGCTTTTCCCCACATGTCATATTATCATCAACTCTTCTTATATCCCCAAAGATTACTAACTGCGGATCGATAGACCTGACATGCCTGGCCGTGGCCTACACGTGCCCTGGTGAGTTCATTTATTTGCCATGGTGGATTTGCCGGAGTGGAATTTAATCAATAGGTAATTCATTAATTCTGATCCTGAAGTATGAAGGGAGCGGCTGGTATAAAAATGTCTCTTGTTTTAACTTGGATAATAATGGAAGGCGCTCTCTGCGATATATCATTGCACATGGCTGAGGGTGTCAGCCTCTCTTAGCAAAATTGTTTATGTTACAGGCATGTTCGGGCTAACCCACACGTCTGTTTGATTAGTCTGTTCTTATTTTACTGTAAATGCAGTGGAATGGAAAATAACTTACAGATTGAGGGCCGGTGCACACTTATGCGACACCCTACCTCGCGGCAATTGTGCACGATTCCATGCAGATTGCAGCACGGTCAGGAGTCGTACAGGTGTGCACCGATCGCGCTGTGGGTGCCATTATTTTCCAAGTAACTTTTTTATGCGATACACGACATGCGGCTGTTTTAGCTGTGTTCAGAAGCACGGGCGGAATCGCGTCAGGAAAACCGTGCGATCCGCCTGGCACGACTGGGGTGCGATTGGAAAATAATGGCACCCACAGCGTGATCGGTGCACACCTATACAACTCCTGAACGTGCGTCAATCCGTGCGGAATCGTGCACGATTGCCGCACGGTGGGGTGTCGCATAGGTGTGCACTGGCCCTGAAACAGGAAGTGACACCTGCCTCTGAAAATGTACAGCTTCTGGATGTCTAAGAAAATCAACTAGTCATTACACACCATGCAGTTTCATTGGACCGAAGCCTCTTACCCAATCCACACAGCAAACAGAAGCCACTTAATCCATCCACACAGCAAACCTTCAAAGTTCACACATTCTTCTACTCCCGTCCATCTTAGTCATCCCTTTCATAATCACAGGTCATTGAAGTCTAGATACCCGTTCCAAATTTAGCAATGTCAGTATGGGTTGATGAACTTGGCATTGCAATAACTCTATGGGTAAGGCAGTGAATGTAACACCAAACACTCACTGCAGGTGTATCTTCCTGGCACATATGGTTTAAATAACAGTGAATGAATCTCCTGCAGTAAATGTCTGTTGAATATCAAATATTTATAAGTTGGCAGATACAATTAAAGTGATATTAAAGTTAAAAGGTTTTTAAGCTGTATCAAATGCTGATGAAATCACTTACAATGGATGCTGCTTCTTGATGTTTAAAAGTTTTAGTTTCCTGTGGAATCAGCTGGTCCCCTGAGCACTGGCCCTGATATCTTGTTTTAGGGTGACTCCTTTTTCCTTGCTGGGTCCTATGGAGCCACCCTTGTGTGTACTAATAAGCTGTGTGTGTCTCAACAAAACAGGCACAGCAAGGGCAAGCTACTACCCTCCACCTACCCCCCCTCCCCCTCCTCTACTAAGCACTGGTCCTGATGTCCTGTTTTAGGGTGGCTCATTTCCTATGCAAGGTCCTATGGAGCCATCCTCATGTGTGCCAGTGAGCTGTGTTTGTCTTCACAAGAGCACATGCAAAGCAGGACATTCCACTCACCTCCCCTCTGCCCCTTCCTCTCTTCTCCAAGCTAGTAGATAGACAGCTGCTGGAGAGTACTGGGTCCTTGTGATCTTGTACTGGACAGGAAGCTCAGGGAAGTAGAGCTGAGAGAGTTGGAGCTGTTTGGACACATAATGACGGTAAGTGTTTAGGTAAACATTTAAAGAAATACTTTGCAAGGCAATGTCTATTTGCTTGATCTGGATTCATTATTGAAAAAAAAGACTGAGAGTTATATACTAATTTAAAACTCACTGTTGTCTGCTTAGATTTCCTCATTCATATTGCAAAAAGCAGTGTAGTGGGACCCATATATTCGACTCCAAAAACAGTAAATTATACTTTTTTTTTTTTCTTCCAAAAAGTTTTTGTTTTTGTTTGTCTTTTTTGTCTTGCAAACAGATAAACAAATGTATTTACACATACATCCAATGTCAAGTACCAAATGCAGTACAATGAACATACAATACAAAGTAAAGTTATGAACTGGTAGATAATCTAGGGGAAGTCCCAAGAAACAGTAGGGTCCTAGGTTACAGAGTATTATCTTATTGCCTTGGGCTTCGGGTCAAGGTTGCAGAGAGGGGGCCCAGGTAACCTGGTTCCCAGAGGGGGGAGGGGGAGACAACATACGGAGGGAGAGAAAGACAAGGTCAGCGAGAAGAGGGTAAAGCGAGGAAGGAAGGGTAGAAAGGGGAGGAGTAGAGGAGAGAGGCAGCCTTAGGCTCAGGAGAGGGGAGATAGCTAATCTAGGGGAAGTCCCAAGAAACAGTAGGGTCCTAGGTTACAGAGTATTATCCTATTACCTTGGGCTTCGGGTCAAGGTTACAGAGAGGGGGCCCAGGTAACCTGGTTCCCAGGGGGGGAGGGGGAGACAACATACGAAGGGAGAGAAAGGCAAGGTCAGCGAGAAGAGAAGAGAAGAGGGTAAAGCGAGGAAGGAAAGGTAGAAAGGGGGGGAGTAGAGTAGAGTGGCAGCCTTAGACGCAGGAGAGTGGAGATAGCTGGTCAACAACTCCGGCTTAAATGTTCAAGATTAAGACTTGTAAAAGGGGAGGGAAGTGGGGGCAAGGAGGGAATGAAGGAGGAGATTAGCATGTTCGAAAAAAGGGGAGGGAAGGGTAGGGAAGGGTGAGGGAACCAGAGAGGGAAGACTCCCAAAGGGCCAGAGACAGTCCCTGAACCAAAAAGGTGGGGTGTCGTTCACTAGGCTAGGATCCAGCCAAACGCCAAATCCAAGATAGTGAAAGGTAGGGTGCATGGGGTGAACCAGAACGGGAGACAGACCTGCTAATAAGAAAAAATACAGAACCCAGATGTATATAACTAGTAGACCGAGGGGTCATTACGGTAACATAACAGCATGAAGTGCAGCATATGCAGGTAAATAACAGGAGAAAACGAAATACAAGAAAATCTTCGCAGAGCGAGCCTGAATCTTCAGCTTGATCTGGTGCCAGAATACCCCCCCGGATGCCAAAAAACCTAGGGGGTAAGCTAGCACCAGAGGAGTCCCACATCAAAATAAAATGAAGAACAGAACAACAGCATAACATGGAACCGATGACACTGTAAGGCGGAACCAAGGCCCCCTGCAGAGTGATCCTGAGGATCTAAGGCCACTATGGTGGTCAGATCGTTGCAACGGGATTCAAGTGTGGTAGTGCGGCTTCCTACATCTCGTATCTCTTTGATAAGCTGCGAGGTAATTTGCTTGGATACCCTGTCCAGAGCTTTATGGAGGGTCGATTCGAATTGTGCCAGGAGAGAATGGGTCACCTCAGGTTCCGCCTGACTAGCCTGTGAGTTATCCTCCAGGGGATCTGTGGGTTCGTTAGAGTTCCGGGAGTCCTCGCTCCGTTGTGATGATGCCGGCGCCATCTTGTTGGCTGCCCGACCCAGGGCCTCGTGTAGCGTGGTCTGGCTCAACTTGCCACCCCGACTCCTAGTGCAGGACATGGTGGTATCTGTCGGTCGGTGGGGTGAGCCCGGATCTTAAGGCACCTGTGGTTACCGTGAGTGGGGCCCGTGATAGCCAAAATAGGTCTTCACTTCTCCCGTTCTGGCGCGGAGCTGATCAGTGAGCGTCCATCTTGATCAGCCGCGCGCATGCGCCTTTATACTTTTTTTAAATGCATCAATTAATTTTTTGTTATCCGTGCAATGAAATCTAATAGGCATGTCCAACACTTTAAAAGCACGCATTATACAGATACATTGTTGTCCGTTATCATTGGACTTTTTGTACATTATACAAATACCACAAAGATTAAGGGTTGTATTAGTATTTGTGTCAATTACCATTTATACAAATTATTATAATTATAAATTACAGTGATAATGAGTGACAATGTATCTGTATATTCCATGCTTTTAGAGTGCTGGACATGTCTTTTAGGTTTGATTGCACAAATAAAAAATTAATTGATGCACTTTAACAAAATATATGTGTCAAAGTATAATTTACAGTTGCCAGAGTTGAATATAAAAGGCCCACTACGCTGCTTTTTGCAATGTTTGGTGGATGTCATATTCACTGCTTTATGACGCAAGGTTTACACCTGCACTACAGCGCATGATACCCGGGACGAGCGTGCCAGGATCGCACAGTCCTGCACAATGCAGGCAGCGATTGCCGCACTGCCCCATGGATTTCAATGGGGTAACATCCACGCGGAAATCGCAGAAAAAAGGTACAAGTACCTTTTTTTGCGTTACACGATGCACAGCTGGTTTAAAGCCGTGACCGTGACCATGTTCGGAAGCATGGGAGGAATCGCGGCGGGAAACCGCACGGTCTGCCTTGCACGACTGGGGTGCCATTAGAAAATAACGACACCCACAACGTGATCGGTTCACACCTTGGCGACTCCTGAAGGCGCGGCAATCCGCACGGAATCGTGCAGTGAGGTGTCGCCTAGGTGTGAACCTAGCTTAAATGTGCCCCATGACTCATTTGCCCACCTGAAAAAAAAAAAATCGTGAGGACATATACATTTTTTATTTGGCACGCATTTAAAAAAATTCCCAGCTCAGGTTTATAAGCTGACAAATGGACACAAATGTTTGATGGAAGTTTGGTTATTTTAACAGTTGTAAGTAGTGCATTGTGGCAGCTGCAGCCTGTTGGATCCAACTGTCACTGCGCCTCTCTCTGCAAAGCTCTGTGACAGCTGCAACTGGCCGACTTGTTTCTAAACAAACCTCACGTGTTCACCAAGATTGATTATCACATGATCAGGAACCGCACTGATTTGTTCCTGATTGTTAACACTATCGCTGGCAGTATAGCCTTAGAGTAAGAACATGCACAGACACACGCTCCTAGTTCTAATACAGAATGGAGATGAACATTCTCTCAGTGTGAAGCACTGAGTCTGAGAGAGTTCATCTGGATTTGGCTGACCATTCATGTTCCAATCTCATTGTACAGCCTGCTTCAGATGTACCAACAGCTGTGTAGCACAGTTTTTGGGCTCGTATTCTAATCAGGTAGGACAATGCACTCTTCTTTAAAGGCAGATACCACTTTTTTTTTAAATAATAATAAATGCACACATATTCATAAATGAAAAAATGTCCATTTAGTATTTTGCTGCATTGAGCCAGTAAAGAATGGCAACCACAATCAATGGACAGTGGGTGCAGTCAGGGCCGGATTTCCCAAAAGGCCAACCGAGGCCCTGCCTTGGGGCAGCAGGGATGTGGAATTCCTATCCCCTGACGGCCGGGACATGCAGTTCAGGGCGTCGAGCGGGTAGTTGTCTTTTACATTTAGCCCTGCTTTGGGCAAGCAGTGCTAAATGTACAGTGGGGAAGCTGCCACTTGTTTTATACAAGTGATCTCGGCGATATCGCAGAGATCACTTGTATGCCGCCTGCATACAGGGGGGCACAATAAGGAACCTGGCATTGGGGCAGCAGAGTGAGTAAATCCGGCCCTGGGTGCAGTTCCCTGGCTCCTAAAGATTCCCCCCCCCCCCCCCCCCCCT